TTAAAACCGTGTATTGCGAGATCCTTCAATCATAGTGCTAGTTAAATAAAATTTGGCAGGCTATATAACGCGAAATATGCTAGTAGTTGAAAGCTTATGCCCCTCCAGTCCATGCCTGGCAACGAACACTTGGAGGTAATTTTAAAGGATAGTAGTTAAACACTCCTACACAGATTTTATTGTGATATAGATGTTATAGAGGCTATAAGCTTTCTAACAATGCACTCCTCCTGGCACTTAGGGATACATGAAGATTTAGTAATCAAGGCTTCGTGTACAGATGTGTCCTATCAACTAAGCAAAGGAAGATAAAGGAAATGTACTCCCTCTGCTCAAATAGTGTTTATATAAATTGTGTAAATCAAGTAAGTCTTGGCCTTGGAAAATCCATCGAGCCTGTCAGTTATTTCCAGTAACATTCAGGTCAGTAGCAACATGACAGTTATGAAGTAGCAACGAAAGTAATTTTATGTTTGGGGGTCACCACAACATGAGGAACTGTATTAAAGGGTCGTGGCATTAGGAAGGTTGAGAACCACTGCAAGTCAACTCACATGGAAGTTCCTGGTTCTGTCATTTTGTTTTCTTTTTATCTTCACCTGAGGATATTTTTCCATTGATTTTTAGAGAGAGGGAAAGACAGAAATATCGATGGGAGAGAAACACATCCTGCACGGCTGGGGAGGAGCCTGCAATGGCGTTATGTGCCCTTGACGGGAATCAAACCCGGGACCCTGTCCTCCACAGGTCGAGGCTCTATCCACTGAGCAAAACCGGCTAGGACTTTGTCTGTCTTTTGACCAATGGACTTTGACCTGCCAATGTCCAATCAGAGCTGCTCTACTACATCCTCATTTGCATCTAAAACGGACCAATCATAACTGCTCCATCTGACCAATCAGATCGCGTCATGCTGACCAACCGGGACTGCGCAATGGCCCCTTTACGTGCCTACGTAAACCGGAACCGGGGTGGGAAGTTTCTCTATAAATGGCAGCCACCCCTTGCAGTGAGGGAGCTCACTTTCGGTTCCTACCACAGG